GGCCGCGATGGGACTGGCCAGTAGCAGCGCGCAGGCGCATAGCCGCCGTTGGTAACTACTGGGACGCTACGAACGACTGGCCGAGATGGCGTAGATAGACGCTATCGATGCAGTGGATCACGTCTTGCGGTGTGCTCGTGGGCTTGGGGCTCGAGCAATGAGAGACGCTGTTTCGGTGGTTCTGTTTGCCAGTCGCTCTTGCCCTTGCTGGGTGCGCCGCGAGGAAGGTACGGTCGTGGCGTCGGGCAGGAGCGCTCAGGGCCCTCGCCCGGTGCGGCAGGAGCGAGCATCCCGCAAATGACGCCCAGCGCCTGAAACCCGCGAGCGCAGCGAACGCTTTGTGTACAGTAGCAGCACTCAACTTCGCGCAATGCACCGTCACGGCATCAAAGCGAGGTGCTCCAGCTCGCACACGAGGGCCTTCGCACGCAGGAACGGCCCAAGCGCAGTCATTACGCATCAGGCCCAGCGTTTCAAGCGTGCGTCCAGCGCGGCCAGGGGGCCTGCCAGCGCTAGGCTCGATGCAGGGTCGCTGTCGCTGCCACAGGTCCCCCGTCACTTATAGCGCTCGCATTCGTCCATGGCTCGCTGCTCCTCCGCTGCTCGTCACTTTTCTCTCCTGGCCCCTCCATCTCTCGCCCTTTCCTCTCTACCTCTCTCCCTTCGCTCTCTTCGACTACACAGTGCCGCTTCTGCATCTTCTACCTGCTCCCCCAGTTGGACCAGCTTACCCCCCGCCTAATCTGAGATTGTGCGAGCGCGCCAGTCCCGTCGCTCCCCCGAGAGAAGAAGAGCTCGCCAGCCGACGCATCCACCACCAGCTTGTCTGCCCGTGATCCCGTCGCTGCCTGTTCGTCTATTCCCCTTCATAAATATCTTCGCTGCTGCCAGACCGCGCCTGCTGCCGTCACCACTCGATCCTTCTGACAGCACATCAAACGACACGGCGCCCGAAGAACTTGTTAATAGCTCCAACTACATTGCCCATCGGCCGGTTTTCGATATCAACTCTACCTTACAATCCCGATCTGTACGATCCTTAATCCCATAATCGCCAGCCAATTCGCACCCTGCCTCACAGCAAACGTCTCGTCGGTGCACGCTCGGTTTCCGTCTTGCCAACACTCCCTCTTCCGGCCTTCTTCGATTCTGTATCTTTCCCCGTGTGCGCCTAGCATACTCCTTGTTGCACCTTACTCTTTGTTCGCAACTCTTCTTAGACCACCACAATGAGCATGGACGCTGGCGGTCTTGCTCAGATGACCTACAACAACTTCCAATCCCAGGGTGGCTTTGGCGGTCCCACCTCGAGCTTTGCCTCTCGCGGCAAGGGCGCTCAGCTTAAGCGTCTCAGCGTCGCCTCGCCGCCCAAGGTTGCCTCCATCGCCGAGGACTCGGTTGCGACTCCTCGCACCAGCCGCTCCCACCTCCTGGCCGGCCTCCGCACTGCGCCCAAGACTCCCACGTCTGCGCAGCCCCCTGCTTCGGCTCCCTACTCGCAGCGCCAGCACAACATTGGTACCAACAACACCAATAACTCCAGGCAGTTCAACCGAACCAACCAGGGTGGTCCCCAGACTGCCATCGGCTCTGGCTTCAGTGGTGTCAACCAGTACCAGCAGCAACAGCAGCAGCCCGACTTCTACAACCAGGTCCTGGCCCCTCCCCAATTCGAGTTCGATGACGGCGAGATGGACCCCAACGTTGCGGCTCAGCTTCTGGCTACTGAACTCTACCTCGCCCAGAGGCAGCAGCAGCTCCAGCAGCAACTCCTTGCTCTGACGACCCAGCAGTTCGGCAACATGAACATGAGCGGTGGGCAGCAGTACCCCAACACGCCATACACTCCTCAGATGAACGCCTATGGCCAGCAGTTTGGAAACACCGCTGCCATCCAGGAGACCAACCAGCCTGGTGTCTACCTTGTCTTCAACCAGATGACTGGCCAGTACCAGTACGTCGTTGACCCGAGCTACCAGCAGGACAACGGCGACATGCAGGCTCAGAATGGTATGTCGGGTCTGTCGCACTCGCCGCCGCCGCCAACTCCCCGCTTCGCTACTTCGCCGCCCAAGGTTGATACTCCAGTGCTCCACGTCTCTCCTCCCAACGAGAGCAACCCCAGCCCTTGGGGTTCGCGCAGCACTTCGCCGCCGAAGAAGTCCAACACCCCACCCCAGGATGTAGTCCCGCTCCCGCCGCCATCTGCCAACGCTTTCCGTCGCGGCCACAAGAAGAATTTGTCTTCTCTTGCTGTTGACGGTAAGGCTGAGGAGGGACCTCGATCTGCCTTTACCCGCCCGGTCGGCTTCCCTGCCACCCCGATGACTGGCACATTCGGCCCTGGCCAAGCACGCGCCGGAGAGCACCCAGTTCGTCAGCCTCGCAACCCTCCTTCCATCGAGGAGCTCAAGGAGCGTCCCACCACCAAGCATGAGGGTAGCAAGAACTTTGCCACTCGTCAACGCCGCCAGGCCGTGGGCAACCTTGTGCGAGCTGGCATCGGTCGCCGCGCTCACCGTACCGGCAGCGGAAGCGCCTCGCCGGACAGCGACCACTTCCCTTCGTCCGACAACGACTCCGACAGTGTTCGCAGCGGTGGAAGTGGCAGCCTCTCGGGCAGGCCCAGCATCGGCAGCCTCCGCGCTGTTGCCAACGGTGCCATTGGCTCAGAGCGCAAGGCCTCCAAGGAGCGCTCCCGCGACAACTCCATCAACCGCTCCTACACCGCCAACAGTGTCAGCAGCGATGACGGTGCTTCCGTTGGAGGTGGCCTGGTCGACATCCGTCCTGAGGAGATTGGCCAACGCCGCATGCCCAAGCTTGTTCTTACCAGCGCTGAGAAGCGCAAGAGCACCGTGTTCTAAGCTATCAACCACGGATTGGAAAGAAAAACCGGGAGTCTCTTCCCCTGTGCATATTACTGTGGCGCTCTCCGGACGCCTCTTGTTACGGCCCATTACGAACCTTTCCTTGTTTGTTAGTTCATTTGTTTGCTGCACTTGACCAAGGTCACTTTTGCCATCTTTCGAATATCACGATTACCATTCGTCTCTTGCCCATTGGGAAGATCTCCTTTTCCACCCCTTCTTCTTGTTTCCCCAGAGTCTTATGCGAACTGCTTTTAATGAGCATGGCGGGAACGCTCTACGGTTTTTGGCCCGGCGATTTGGGCGGGCGACTTGGGATATGCTTTATGGACGTGAGCTCAATGGCCTGTGGCTGGAGCTCACTGCCTTCTTGGGGCTTCAGTTCTGTGTTACCATTGTTTGTTGGAAGATATTGTGCTTTTGACCAAATCCATTCGCTACCGCCGCAACAAGGCGATGCACAAGGAAGAGTGGATCATGTAGGATGAGATACCTAAATGCAATCACACTCGCTTTCAAAACGCACGCTATGCAATTGTGAGATGACGCCTGGGATTTGACTCAAGGGCTACTTTCCCCAGAAAGTCAGGCACTGGCTAGCAGCAACCCTTGTATGTCCGTGACACAGCTCGCAATCTCACGAAATGAATGCAAATCCGGAGAAGTAATCTCCACCTGTTCTCGACGGCGACTCGGTCAAGGTAAAAGCTAATTTCGGTACTGTAGTGTGGCCATGGCCGTTGCACGGTGATCGACAAGATGCTCGCGTGGTGTTGAAGCTAAAGAATCGATAAGCGTGACAGGGCTGAAGGCTGGTGTCGCATCGCGGGGCAACTGCGAAGCTTCAAATGTCAACACCAAAACATCTACACTCGACACCACACATCCCGAAATTACTTACGCGCTGCATATTCAATACGTCACCTCTGATCCATACACAACCAACAACTCGCAGCAAGCCACGCCCATAAATACAAACCGCATCGCAATGGCCGAGCCGCCTGTCGTCCCTCCAATCGAACCCCCACCACCGCCCGAAACGTCGCGTCCCCTCCACACGCTCCCCGCGCCTTTCTCCCAGGATGCGCTCGAAATCATAACACAAGGCGCCGAGGCCCTTGTATACAAGACCACTTTTCTCACTCCCCACACGCCCGTCGTCGTCAAATACCGGCCACCAAAGCCATACAGACATCCCACTTTAGACAAGCGCCTTACAAAGCAGAGGTTACTAGCCGAGGCACGAAGTCTTATAAGAGTCAAGAGGGATGGCGTTAATGTACCGGGGGTGATTGGCGCGGACTGGGATGCGGGCTGGTTGGTGCTGGAGTATGTGGATGGCAGGACTGTCAGGAAAGTGTTGGATGGGTGGGCACATCAAGTCACACAAAGGGAAAAAGAGAAGAAAGACGCGCAGGAAGGACAAGAAGAAATACTAGATCTGATGCGAAGAGTCGGACGGGAAGTAGGCAAGCTGCACGAACTGGGAGTATGTCACGGAGATCTCACAACAAGCAACATCATGTTACGTACACCCAAGTCGCAAGACACGCCAGCACAACAACCACAACGACGAATACCACGCGGAAAACAGACAACGAGCACACTCCGCGAAGCAGCCATGAACGGCGAAGAACCTCCAGACCTCCCCCCTGCGGACCCGCCGCAACAGTCCAACACTAAGTCGCTAGCTGGCGACATCTTCCTCATCGACTTCGGTCTCACGACTGCTAGCATACAAGACGAGGACAAGGCTGTTGATCTGTACGTACTTGAAAGAGCGTTCTCGGCAACACATCCCGCTGCGGAGCCGCTATTTCAGGAAGTGCTCAAGGCGTATGGGGAGTGTGGGAAGGGGGCTAGGGGTGTCCTAAAGAGGTTAGAAGGGGTTAGATTGAGGGGAAGGAAGAGGAGTATGCTGGGTTGATGGAATTATTATGATGGCTACTTTGTATTATGAGGCTTCGGAAGTTATGATATGGTGAGGTGTGCTGCCCTTCGGGTACTTTTGTATCCTCAAACTTAGTTCTCTACGATGATGTTTGTGGTTACATTGGTTCAGGGATGGTGTCTTCTATCTCCGCCGTTGAGCTGACGACCTCCATGCTCCCTCATGCCTCCTCAGATATCCTAGGGGCCGGCCACCATGTCCTTCTTGCTCACATGACCTGCGTGTACAATGTTCTTGTACTTCCGCTGATCATCTTCATGTGCCCTTGTACAAGTTGGGACGAAACATGTACCCGCCTTGTAGTTGGCACACCTCGCCCGCTGGCACTTGGCACGGTTCTTCAGACAGCTCTGGCATGGGTCCCCGGAGTCACACCGCCTGTCGTTTTCGAAGCAGCGGATGCATACAGCAAGGCGCTGCTTTGCGATCTTCCGGCTCCAGGGAGTTGGGATGGAGTCAGCTATGTTCTCGACTCTGCAAAAGTTAGCGACATCATGTAATGCCCCTAGATGAACATACGGTTTCTTCGGCAAGTATACTAACACTGACAGAGCAGTCTCGTAGACTTCGTCCCTGGACGTATCCGCCTCGACGCAGGGGGCAGGCTTGTCTCTGTTGACATGTTAGTAAAATGAAAAGATGACGTAGTGAGTATGCTTACCTGTGACGGCGGCGACGAGTCCTCGCCTTCTTACGAGGCTTCTCCTCCTCCTTCTTCTCCTCCTGCGGCTTCGACATACCACAGACCAAGTTCTCAAAGAACTTGGGCCGATACCCCTCCTCCGTCTTGGATGCGCTCTCGTCCGCATCTAGACCCTCCTCAAACGGCGACGGCAAGTCGCGCTTGCGCTTACCGCCCTTCTCGTTCAGCGCCTTTAGACGAGCGAATGCTCGCTCGCTCTCCAGCAGACACTGGATGAGATTGTTGTTGTGAGCTTCCAGCCTGTCGATCTCGTCGCGCGCGAGCTTGAGCTGCGCCACCAGCTTCTCGTTTTCGAGGGCGGGGTCAGTGGGAGGCAGGCGGGAAAGCGACGTCATGGTGTCTTGGGGAGCTGCAGTTGTTAGCGACAGCTTTGGAGGTGGCTAGTTGATGTACTGACTGATCGGACGGCGGCGGTGGGCACGATTGTGAGGATGCGATTGGGAAGACGCAGGTAACGGGCGAACGAAAAGCTTTGTGACTTGAGTATGTGTGGGATATTGTCGCGAAAAGAAAAACGGTCTAGCAAATTTTCGCGTTGTTGCGCGTTTGCGGGCACTTACTGAGCGGCTACACACCGCTTCTGAAGACTATCTGATGTTTTAATGGCGCCGAAGCTGCTGCAATCTATAAGTAAGAGCCATTTGAAGATGTGCAGTACTCATGAGATAGCCTCCAGCACGATACAGGCCGATAATAACTTGGTCGGAAGGGTGTCACGTGAAGCCACTTTCACTTCGTTGTATCGACGTCCTTGCCAATCCCGCAACCACCATTCAGCCGTCGCTCATGGCGTCAGTCAAATATCTTTTCGACTGGTTACCTCCAGCCAACGCGAGATAATCGCGAACGTGTCTTTATCGGCAGTGATACCACCGACACAAAAGATAAGAAGTGAGCACGAACGCAGATATTGATCACAGCAGCGCGATTGGAGAGAAGAATAGATCATATGAACACCATGAATTCTTTGAATGCGGCTACTATATGCCAGAAGTGCAAAACTGAACCCTTTACAAATCATTCCGTGGTGGGCCGTTGAGCTTGAAGTAGCCCGGTTGGAGAATCTCAAACACACCGGTAGGATCATATTTCTTGGAAATGGCCTGCAATCTGGCCTTATTCGCGGGACCGTATCCAGCAACGGGATCCTGCCACGGGCTGGCGTAGTTCATGTACAGATACTCGTTTGATTTGCCCTTAGCCTTGGCTGCCGCCACACAGCGGTCCTTGATGCGTGCGTGGAACTTGTTCATTTTGTCGTCGTCCGCGCTGTTGGCCCAACTCATGGAGACAAGAGCTAGCATGAGAGGGCCGTCCTTAGGGTCGAGCCCAAGCGCATTGCCTCCATTGGTGGCACTTTTCTCAATGATAGGGTCGGTCAGCACCTGGAGCGAAACAGCTCCAAGAAGACCGGGTACATCGAGGATACTGTCAAGCTCCTCGTAAAAGGTATCTTTAGCCAGAGTGGCCATTTCCAGGTCAAGCTTAGTCGTCCAGGTCCAGAAAGCCTGTCGAGAAGCTGCACCTGGGGCCGCTAGGTTCGCGGTAAGGTTTGCGAGACTATTGATTCCAGCTTTGTCCGAGATCGCCCCCTTGATGCTGTTGTACTCGGCAAGGACTGGTGCGTCAGTGATAGGGTCTGAGTATTCCAGCTCAACCTGAGCGATCTCCCCGACTTCAGCTCCATAGCCAAATGACAAGATCTGATGTGCTTTTCCGTCGTTCTTTCCGTTCATGCCGAGATTGTAGTACGCCTTGATGAGAGTCTCGGATTGGTTTCCGTAATATGCTCGCATACCACCCCACATGGTCGGCGCTCTGGGAATAGCATTGACGTTGAACTTGGTGACGATACCGAAGTTATTGCCACCCCCTCGAAGAGCCCAGTAGAGGTCTGGAAACGAATCTTTGCTGACGTTGATGACAAGTCCAGAAGCGGTGACCAGTTCATACGAGATGACGTTGTCGCATGCCAAGCCGTATTCGCTTGAGAAGTATGAGATGCCTGAAGATTGGTTCAGCGCATGTTGACTGGTAGTGTTGTGACATTTTGGTTCTTACCTCCGCCTAGAGTTAGCCCACCCACACCGACGCTAGCAACCTGAGCATTCATCAGTGACACGCCTCTCTATCTTCACAGAGTTCTACTTACTCGACCACCAATGATGGCAACTTCATCTTTCTCAAGCTTTGTGTACACGTCGTACCATGTTTGGCCAGGCTCGAACGTAGCGCTCTTCTTGTCAGAAGATGCTGTTGTCTTGTTCATCTTCTCGAAACTGATTGTAATACCACCCTCGATGTTCGAGCCGCCGGGTACTGCTGAGTGGCCTCCACTCTTAGCGGCGAAAGGACATTGCGTAAGACGTGAGAGAAGGATAGAAGTTGAGACATCCAAGGCTTTCTCAGGTTTGAAGACACATTGTGGAGAGATGTCTCTTTGTTGGCCGGCCCAGTAATCGCCGATGAACGCATCGTATGCGGCTTCAGACTGTGTCTCGACTTGGTCGTCACCAAAGATCAACTTCAACGAGTTACACTGACGACATGTTAGTCTTTACGAATTTTGCATGGTCGTTCATCAGTACCTACGGCGATAGAGCAGCCATCCAGTAAGGATCTCTCTGCTAAAGGTGCAAGCTCGGGTAAAGCAGAGACTTTGACACCATTTTTGAGTAATGCCTCAGTTACATTGAAGTCTGCGGGTTCGAAAGTAGCTTGGGAGACAACACCTGCCACCAAGGCAGCAGATGAGACGGCGTACTTCATCCTTTCGATCGGAAAAGCAGGGTCGATCTACAAACAGGGGGTACGAAAAGAATTGCCCGAATGTGGCACGAAGATTCTGGGCGCAGGAAGAACGCTGCCCAGTTGCAGGAAGGAATCTGTAATGATGGTGGTTGCGACCCAGTACTAGGGAACGGCATCCTTTTATCACCCCAACCTTACGTGCGAATCCTCGGCGATGTGCCGGGCGCGGGGGATGCTGTGGCCCGAAATCGACGGGCTTGTTGGCGGTTCTATCCTTGTATATGCCTTCAGTCTTAGAAAGGGTAAGCTGGCATGCAGTGCACATGTGTACATTGAAGACCTCGGGATGAGTCAGCTGAACCCCTGTCTGTTTCTAGTCCACTGAAGATCTCAACATGTAGGTTTAGATGAACTAGACACCATCTTTTGAATATTTCCATGGGTATACATGTTTGGCGACGACAGTCGTGGGAAGACGCGTATGCTTGTGCTGATGGAAGAGGTGGCTAAATGATATGTGGGCTGCTAGCTCGTGAAGTTGGGCGGGTGTCTCCGCCAATGCCACCGCCGCCTAGATAAGCCCTAGCCCGTGCGGCACAACCCCTTGTTTTACCTAGCGGCACTAACGTTCCTGCATCCGCCAGAACATCCGAAGTGGCGTTCAAGCTTCGCCGCTCTCATAGCACGATGCGAGACGCATCGCAGCATGGCTCACATCACTCCATTACATATTGTTGGGTTGCCAGAAAGCCTCCCGTTCAGAACCGTCATCTAGCTTGACTTGGAACGCTCTACATATACGAACAAGACTAAATTTTCGCTCGCGACGGCCGGGGCCGAAGCTCTTGGACGGCTGCTATGTCCACACCTAGATATCGCCACCGTAGGATTCAAGTCTAGATTGACCATCTGGCTAACCGAGCCTCAAAGATTTGGCCCCAACGTGAGAGGAATCGACCTAATTCGCGTCCCACGCCGGGCCGTGTCCGACCCCTGCCACGCCTCATGCAGCGAGGGCACCACGGATGTACTGTGCCGCACTGTATGGGACCTGCTTTTCCAGATCTATGCTGTAGTTGGCCGCTCTTGAAAATAAGATTATTGATCACCTTGTGGATTGATATGTACTGTTTAGGCAGGAAGAGAAAAGGTTGATGTCTACTGTGGTAACTACACTCTTCTGCCATCATTGCGCATTCCCTTCTATACACCCGAGGTCCGTCAGCGGCCGATACAGTCCGATGTCAGACACCGAGCCATGTCTGCCCAGTACAAAGAGATCATATCAGAGTCCGAGTTCTTTCGGGCTTCTTACGCTATCGTGGTATTAGCTTCAGCCATCATGCTCGTACGTATGGGCGTGCAGGTGTGGAGGCGCAAAGCTATGGAGTTGCAAGACTATCTCATATACCTGGCTTTTGCATTGTTCCTCGCCTTGTCGATATGCTATCTGGTTAACATTTCTACGATTTTCGACATTTCAAAGGTTCTGGTAGGATCACTTGAACCTTGGCCAACATTCCGGTCTGACTTCGTCCTCAATGTTCGGATCGTGTTCGTTACCACTGTACTGTTTTGGTTGACGCTATGGTCGGTCAAGCTGTCTCTGTTAGCATTGTACAAGAAACTACTAGAGGGCCTTCCGCGTGTATGGACAAGACTTTGGTGGGCAGTATTCACATTTTGTATTGTTGTAAGTCTGTATCATCGCATGCTCTTTAACCACACTGAAACTCCGATGTAGTCTGTTCTCGGCTGTATCGCTTCTTATCTTACTTCTTGTCCCGACTTTACCGCCTTGGTAGAAAGAGGAGACTGCCCGAATACCCCCCGAAACATTCGTGCCCAGCTTGTTAGCTTGTACATGTCCTACGCTGTCGATATCCTATCAGACCTCATGAGTATGTGATAGATCCTTCCTACTAAAGAATGTTGGTATTGATGCTGCTAGTCATGTTTCTACCCATCCGACTTGTCTGGAACCTTCAGATGGTACGCGCGCAGAAGATCGCTATCATCGCACTTTTCGCATCTGGCTTCGTTTGCATCACCTTCGCCACTCTACGCGTTATACAGGTCGGCAGAAAGTCCGGAGAAAGCACAGCACCCAGTCCGACCTGGCTAGCGTTCTGGACGCTCATTGAGTCATCTGTAGCCGTCTGTATTGGTTGTTGCCCTGCGTTTGCTGTGTTCTTTCGCCGTGCCCACACGCCTAGCATATCCTATGATACGAACGGATACGTTCGGCACAGCCCGAGTGGATCTGGAGCAGATCAGAACAACGCAGACACGATCAAGATGGATGATGTTACCACTGGTAGTAGCAGGAATAGGACTTCTAGGCGGGATACGCACTGGAACGTTACACGGAGCAGCGAAGAAGATTTCGCTGCGGACAACAAGACAAGCCTAGATTGGTTACCACCAAGGAGGAAATTCGATACCCCCTCAGAGAAGGACACTCTACCACCGAGAAATCCCAGGGCAACGACCAATATGAGCCCAACATGAAGCCTCCTCGTCGTTCTATCCTGGTACGAGGGCATTGAGAGATCTCCATGAGATCATTGTAAGCCTGCAGTAC